CGGTTACGGTCCACTGATACAGCGATGTCGACCGCCCAAAGCTGTGGCTACACCTGAACCTGAACCAAAATCATAACCAAATTTAATAAGACGTGCAAAGCAAAACAAAGCAAACTACGTAGACGAGTTGAGCCACGAATCATGAAATATCACCTTCGGCTATGAAACATCAACTAACAGCCCTTGCGACCTAAAACTGCGCCCTTCCACGCGACAACTGCTCTAACGATCACCAACTTTAACTCAGAAAACAAACGAACACCTAAGCTACAACAAATCATGGACCAAAAGGAGTATTTCTATTTAATATAATCAAATGAGCCATTTACAACTGCACCGCATAAAATTCGCAACCGTCTACTAAGCAATAGCAATTAAAACGCATACCAGACGTCCGTACATTCTATCGTCTAGAAAATTTCTTCGTGAAGGACGGCGTTACCGTATGGTCATATTTAGTGTTCAAGTAAGAGCTAAATGGCAAACTATAATACTGAAATTTTGCCTCGAAGCGAAATTAGTCAATCCGCTAAGAAAAGGCAAATGGACAGTTTGTTGCCCTTGAAATATTAAATTCAGTTTCTTGTCAGTGAGTGATAAGCATTTTGTTCTTAATTCTCTAAAATCTGTTGTTGCTTATGTTCATTTGACCTGTAAGTCGCTCTCCTGCCCCGACCTTTACGATGATTACTTATAAACCAACTGAGAGATTTCAGTGGTAGCTACCTCTCCCTACCTTCTATTGCACAACACCATACATAGCTCCTCTTCCACCATCGTTAATGCATCTGATATAACAAAAATTGGAAAACCGAAACCAGGAGAACGAAAGTTCTAAAAAATGTGGCAGCCGAAATCAGCGAGGCAGACATATTGGAATGGAGCTGGCGAAAACCACTAGGATATAAAACTAGTTGATAGGTACGTGCCGAAAAAACATTTCCATTTCCTATGTCTATGAACTACAAATCCTTTCGCAAATAATTGTGCACTTTCCTTGAACAGTCATAATTTTTCCCAGAAATTTATGATGGTCTGTTCGACCTGGATTAATGCCACCCATATGGACTGACAAGGTATCGTTAAAAACTGCCGTAGTGGCAGTGTGGCTTCATGGATCAGCACACAGTAATGCTCTAAACCAACGCTGATTTTCGTCTTTGCTAAAGACAATATCTAATACTATCTAACAGAATGAGGCAAAACATTTTTTTCAGCGTCTAGAATATGTTTTCTTAATTGCTATATTGCGCTGTATTTCTCGGTCATAAGGCTAACTCATTTGTAATTTACCTTGTGTCCCAGTGCGGTATGCTCAATGAAGATAATCTTCCAGTTGTCGTTGTGATTTTAGCAAAAAAAGACGTTCGATTCCTACTCTCGACCAGTCTTACAGCCATGGCAAAACTTCAACATTCGCTTCAATGCTAAACAAAACCAGACCTTCATTAATGAAAGGACTACTGCATATCCAGCATATCCAAACACTTTGTTCCACTGCCGGATTCTGATCACTTTATCACACCTTCTTCGGACAAGCTTAGCTACCAAAGTTCACCATGGCAACGGCCCTCAAAACTATTTGTTTTAACATATGAATCCAATATTGACCAACTGCACTACTTCCTGCAAGATACCCATTGGGCAGTTTTTCTGTCAGTAAACCTTAACCACTACATATGTTGTGCCAACCGATCGCAAATTCGTCTACCATATTTGCTCTCCGGTTGAAAAGACATTCATTAAATATCCAAGAAGCGGATCAATCTGTTGGTAAGAAAGGAGAAGCCTACAAACAACAAATGTCATATGCCAGTTATTTACGAAGAGTTTACGAGCAGAAATATTCAGATTAGATATGTTCCATCTACTGGGAAACAAGAGACCGAAAGGTATGTGACTATGG